TGGAGGAGTTTTTTTTAAACGAATAAAATGGCAGTGTGGGTAGGATTCATAATTAAGAAAAATAAATGAAACTCAGAAAAAAAAATGGCACTGAGCTTAGTGCAGAAGGTTTGGCCCTTGAGCAATGTAGAATAAAACCACTCTTTGGGGTTTGTTTAACCAAAAAGTTGAATGTCTTTCCTACTAATTATTATTATTATATTAAGTTTTTTTTTAAATCACAGTGTTGTAGATGTTCTCTTTTAACAGTTGTATCTGGAAAAAAATATTACCTTATATTGATCTGTACTACACAGTCCCTGTTTAAACGTAGTTGCCAACACTAAAGTCTCTGAGCATGGTATGGGAACTATTCTCTGGGTTGGTAACCAATGTATGTTTAGAGGTTTGATGCCAAGCATGACATTTAACCTACTAAACCAAACAGTTCATAGAGATTGTCTCTTCTGCTCCCACTATGGTCCTATCCCTCAACAATCTGCCAATCATTGTAGCTGACATACATCTTTTCTGCCTTTGAATGGAGAATGGGGATTCAGGACACTGGGCATAAAATCAGAGCTGTCTTGCAAACCAAAGTTGGCAACTATGCGTTTATTTCCCTGTCATTCTGTTTACTTGGGATTTGCACTACACATGTTGTGAGTGTATGTTTTATTTATTTATAGTTTGAAATCCCATTAATGACAGAGGAAGGAAAGAAGCCCATTTATCTGGTTCACTAACACTAGAGGAGTTATGAAAATTACCGAATGCTGAGATTGTCTTCATACACAGTGACATCATATTTCATTATTATACCATCAGGAGCCTCTCTTCTATAGCAATAAATAACATTACAAACCTATTTCTAATATATGGTACAGATATTTGTACTACTCTCTGAATACTTGAAGAAAATGGGTTATAAATAAGCCGATTAGATATCTCTTTTTACAATCTTATCAGTACATTGCAAGAAAAGGAACACATTGAGGCGATGATTGGTGGGACAGTAACAGGATTTTGAGTGTATGAATGAGTTGCTTTTACTGTTTTTGGTATAGTGAAGGTACAAAAGCACTGACCAGATGATTAAGCATAATTTAATCTCCACTGTGATAAAACTTATGCAATAAACATGGATTTAATAGAGAAATACTGTTGTTGGAAGTATATTTTTATTTAAGTGATTCTTATTTATCAAGTTTTGAGTATATGCACTAACTCACACTATGTATTTATATATAAATGTATATATGTATGTTAAAATACATATGTACTGGTCACTATGTACACTCAAGGGGATGGTATTTATGTGAAACACCAAACATAAATGCATTTTGTGATCATTCTTCTGTTTCCTCACAGTGAAAAGCCCATCATTGACAAAGATTTTAACTTTGTGTTTTTTATTAAACTACTGCATTTTTTTATTTCCCTGGAAATTCAGTGGGGCTCAGCTTTCATTGTGTAGCAAATTTTATGTGTAAATACAGTAAAACTCCAAATGTCCGGCATCCAGTGGTCTGGCACTGCTGATAGTCTGGCACCAACTGGAACCCGAAAGTGCTCCAGCCAGCCAGACAATTGGAGCTCCTGTGAGCCCCACGCACGCTATTGGGCCGGGAAAGGGAAGGGGTTTATACCCCTGGGATGGGTCTGCTGGACCGCACTGCATCTGGTCGGGGGGCGGGGTAGGTGGGGAACGGCGCGGCGAGGGGCGAACCCTCCACCGTTTTGCAGGGAGGCGGGGGGAGGC